GGTTGTGGGGAAAATAGGAGGAGGAAGGAGTATTAGGTATGTTCGCCGCCTTGAGTTATTTTAAAAATAATAAAGGTGGGATAAAAAAAAATCTAACAAAAAAACTTGCCTGGTGACCTACCTCCTTCAAATTCAACCTTCCCTCAAAGAGCCCCAGAACGTTGCAGCTGGTTCCAAACATAACAAAATGAGGTTTAGCTCTTTACCTTTGTGGAACTGGGACTACAACAGACCAAGAGAACTCTCACAGAGCAGACAAGGGCTGTCTGCTCTTGCCTTGGCTCAAAAAAGGAGCACCTCTGAGAAGAAATGAGTGACTGGAGAGGATAAGAAGTCTTACTGAAAAGGTGCGTTTCACAGGTTGGACTGAAGCAGGCAGTAGCAATGGGCTTCTTGTGAGCCTTGATCTCTCCATAACAGTAATCAGCAGTCACATGAATTAGCTTCACGATTCCTCTTCTCCCAGCAGCAGCCAGAACATTGTGTCTTTTCTTTCTCCCATCGCTGGTTACCATTGTCAGGGTTGTCCATGTGACAGTGTAAAACTCCTGGAGAAAAAGGCAAGGTATCAGGTGGAGCAGCCATACAAGACCAGAGGTTTGGGTAGACTTGGATAAGAACAACCAAGTCCACCGAACATTCTTGCTTTTTTAATATTAATTTTATTAAAAATTGTACTTACAATGATAAAAAACTAATACAAACTAAAAAAAGGTAAAAGAAAAAGAAAAAATAGAAGGTGCAAAAAAAAAGTGTTAAGTGTTTAATTGTTCTTCTCCTTTAATTGTAATCTTTAGTTCTTTCTAGTTCCCTGTAGTGTCCAACCTTCAAAGTCCCATCCTATCATGTTTTTTTTAAATTCAAAACAAAAGCATTTTCCCATAGGAAAGATTCTTATAATTCCACAATTGTATTTCAAATCCATCTGGGCCCTTAGTCTGTTTGTAACTTTCCAAAAGCAAAGCTCTAATCTCCCTTTTGCTGTTTATTCAAAAAAAATTGTTTTTTAAAATTCTTAAACTTGTATTTAAAACTTCTTTCACTACGGATTGAAGGAAACACACCCAGTGTTTTCAGACTTGTTGATCCAAAGGCTCCTAATAGCTGAAAAGCAGTTAACAAACATTTTCTGAAAGTGATTAGAAAAGGAAGTATGTGGCCTTTCAAAGGCGCCAACTGTGAGTTGAGCAAGATGCCTATTCCCTTGTCTCTCAGAGCTCTAAACCCATCAGAGACCGCTGTCTTGTGGTCTCCTCACGAGGAGTAACTGTTGGAGCACTTGTGGGTGATCTGAAGTCCTCTCCTTATCCAGAGAGGAAATACAAAGAGCCGGTCTACTCACTGGCTCTTCATTGTGCTGTAGTTGTCGGCTCCATTTTTAGTGGAGCTGTCTTCAGTTCGCCAATTCTTCCCTGGAAGTCCAAACATTCAACTTATGTACAAACCTGTTAAAAACTGCACTGAAACTTATAAGGGGAAAGCACAACAGTGATCAGTATTTTTTTAAATAAAAATCTGGGCCCAGATACCATGACCAGATTAAGTATGTGATAATTATTATGGAAGTACCACAATAGCTGGCTCTGCATGATATCATATGGTAGCATTCAACATAGACTAGATTTCAGCTCCAATAGTCTCCAGTTTACTCGCAGTTCCTTTTTTAAACAGCTCCTGAATCATCTGACAGCAATGAGCTTCTCCAGGAGGGGTCAGAGAATGTTAAAACAGGTGAAAACATCATAATGCAAATGTGTGACTTATGTATTTGGGTCAAATATTGGGACATAAGTACAAAAAGACCATATTTTTGTGATGACATTGCCATACGCACGTTGCCCTTTGGTGGCATTATGCCGCTACTGATAGTTGTTCCAAGTCCTACTAAATCTGCCCTGTTTGAACTTGGCACTAGATGCAGGAACTAAGCAGATGTGTAAAAAATCTATTTCCTATTTCAGCTCATGTGCCTTCTCTGGTTTTAATTGCTATCAGTTATATATATCTGTTGCCGCCCAGAGTCACATTTTGTGAGATGGGCAGCTACATAAATATGATAAATAAAATAATAAAATAAAATAAAATAAAATAAGAGATTTATGAGATTTGACGGGCCCCAACCCTGTTAGTCTTCAGGAAGGCTTTGAAGGCCTGGCTGTTCCCTCTGGCATTGGGACCAGGATGTTAGATAAGTTTGTCCTGCAAGGTATAGTATGTTAGTGTGCTCTGACTACTTGTCTTGTTGTTGATATCTGGTTGTTTTGTCTTATTGGGAATGTTTAAATTGTTTATTGCTATATGCCATCCGAAGTCAGTTTTTTGAATTGGGCAGCCATATAAATCCTTTTAAATAAATAAAAAAGGCCACTGTTATTTTCACTGTGTTGATTTTTGTATGGGCATTTCATACCCAGCATATCTAACCAAAAAACCCAACAAGCTTCATTCTCATGGAAGAAATGAGCTAAACCTTTCCGGTCAACCTCAAGAGCTATGGCTTTGTACCATGAAAAACCAGAATTGTCTTACAGATAGATCAAAAGCTGGCAAGCAGCCCCCACACCTATTTGCTTGCATATCTGGGATGCTTGGTTTAGATTCTAAAATTATGATTAATGTAAATCACAGTATGCTGCAATGAAGATTACTCATTCATATAAAGCTAAACATCTAAAGAAGTAAACTCTGGAATTAGATGGCAGTGTATATTAAGTTTTAATTAAGCTTAATTTAAGATTTAATGATAAACAACAAGAAATGGAAGATATATTTAAGAGGATTTTAGAAGAGTGATTATTAACAACCTGGAAAGTAAGCTAACATTTCTGATTACAGTTAGGGTGAAGAGAGGCAGCAAAATCCTGCCTCACTCTTCTCATGACCTCTCCCTGCAAGTTTCAGTCCAACAGAAAGATGTACAGTGGTACCTCGGTTCACGAACTTAATTCGTTCCGCGACTCTAGTCGCGAACTGAACTGGTCATGAACAGAATCAAATTTTCCCATAAGGTTCAATGTAAATACGGTTAATCCGTCCTGACCCCTCCAAATTTGGTCGC